CTTCCCCTTCCTGAAGTGAGCTTTGCTTGACAATTAAGAGCCCAATCCTGGCTGCCAAGCTTCGTCTCTGCGCCAGAAGTCTCATTTCAACGCTTCGCGTTCTGATCCTGGATGATGCGCGCTAAAATGTCCAGTTGTGCAAGCTTGCTCGAGGTGTTTGAATTGAAGCACTGCTGTTCGGGGGAATTCCGGGTACAAGTAGTTGTAACTTGTGCTCAACCCTGCTATGCAAAACTATACCTGACCTTCTGAACCCACACCAATATAGGGTCCCAGATGTTTGGGCTGGAGACGCCTAACCCAAGCACGAACGAGAGTGTTAGTTTTGCTGTTTCGGGCTTTAGGGTTTAAGCTTAGAGCTCTAATCGTTCTCAAAGACTTCACTTGCCCCCAACCCAACACCCGAAACCCAGAATTCCACCGACAGTAGCCGGCGTTCCATCTGATTCCGACGAAGTGCTTTTCATTTTGCTTGTACCTCTCCCGAACGGCCTTAGTACCTAAGGAAGTCGGATAATGCCACAACTCCCTGTCTGAGACCACTGTGTCACTCCACACCCTAGGTACCCAACCGCTATTATTCAACCCTCGAAAAGTTCATTGGGCAGTGGTAGCTCCCCAAAGGTTTAGGGTAAACCTTAAACCCTGTAAAGCCACAATCCTCGCCCGAAGACTCCCCTAGCGCAGCTGCAGCTGCAGCTCCAGACCTGTCCTCGGCACACGTATAGCTTAAGGGCTTATAGCCCCGATGTAAAACCCTTATCAAAGCCATAAGCCACATAGCAAACCCTAAGCCCTAAACCCTAAACTCTGAGCTCTAATCCCTTAACCCTACACCTGAGCTGCGTTGTCGTCCGCTCTGCTGTTTCGGGCTCACGCCGGGCCGAGTCCGATTTTCCGCTCCGCACGCGAAGAGCTTTTTTGTCAGGCAAAAGACCTGAAGCCGGTTGAGCCGCTTCCCTTAAAAGTCTGGGGTTCAGCATGGATTTTTGTGGTTCAGGACCCTATAGCCCTAAACCCTGAACCCTAAATTTAGGTTGCAGGGCCTTTTTGGGGGGGTTTATGCTTGGGCTTTGGTGGAGGTTCTGGAGATTTGGGTTGAAGCTCCTGCCTTCGAACAGGTCCTCGGCCTTGAAAGCTCCAGTGGCAAGCAAACCCCTAAACCCCTTAATCCCCAAACCCCTAAACCCCTTAATCCCTAAACCCTTAAACCCTAAACCCCTAAACCCCTAAACCTGAAAGTATCGAGTCCCCGGCCCAAGCAACACCTCAGGCCAAAAAAAAGCACCCCCCCCCCAAGCCCCAAGTCCTAAACTAAAGCTTATACAACAGGGCCTCAGAGTTTCGGGTACAGACTCGGCAGCTTCGACTATCCAAATTTGATGGTTCAGGGTTTATAGGGGTTTATAATAATAGGGGGATCGGCATGGAAACTCGTGTCAAGTCGGAATCTTTCCCCTAAACCCTAAACCCTATATAAAACCAACCCTAAACCCTATATACACATACACCCTATACCCTATACATAAACCCTAAACCCTAAACCGGGGGGGGTTTGGCGTTCCGGGACCTTGGAGCGCTCCGGGGGCTTTCAGCTTGGCTGGGAGGCTTTTCTGGTGGGTCCAGGCTTGGCGGTTTTTTTGGGGGATTTCGGGCTTTAGGTTTTTAGGGTCCTCCACCTTATAATTACCCCTATTATAAACCCTATAAACCCTATAAGTATCCCCGAATGTAGGGGTTTAGTAGGGGGCTTAGGAGTTGGAGTATAGGCTGAAGGGACCTGGCGTGTTGCGGCTTTAGGCTTCGGGTTCAAAGATGTCCGAGACTTCTATATAGGTTTAGGGTTCCCTAGGGCTCCCGTTACCTAAAATAGTGGGTTTCTATCCATAGGGTTTAGGGTTTAGGGTTGTATATTGTGTGCCCCAGTAACCTACTACTATTTAGGTAACTGGAGGGTTTAGGGGTTTATTTCGGGCCATAGAAATCCTCAACCTGGATGAAGCTCCGCCGAGGAGTGGTGAGATCACAGCCATGGTGGCGTTCTGGCTCATCCTTGGACTCGCGCTGCCTACAGCGGCGCAGGCGGGCGAGCAAAGCTTGTAGGGTTTAGGGTTTAGGGGTTTATAGGGTTTAGGGGCTTAGGGTTTAGGGTTGCTGCAGGGGATTATGGTGTGTTGGAAGCTTGTTGTAATAAGAAGCGAAGGTACCCCAGTAGCTTAGTCCCACCCTCCAGCCCTGTGTTCAAGAGCTTGCTTGGTTTGGGTGGTCTGAAGCGCTAATGGCATGCCTAAATCCTCAACCCAGAAAGCCCTAAACCCCGAAACCTTAAACCCTGAACCTCGTGGTTTCGTTTTTGGTCCTGTCAGCAGCCCAGGTGAACCGATCTTCTCACTTTCTGAGAGTCTCGGAGCAGTTTTATGGTTTCTAAGCTCACAGGTTTTTTTTGGTGGCTTTGAGGGTGTTGTTTTGTAAGAGCTGGTTAGGGTTGTTGAGGGTCTTACGGGGTTTTCAGGGCTTCTGCAGTGTTAATACGCCTCAAGGGCTTGAAGAGCCTTCGAGGATTCTTGAGAATGGTTGTTTTAAAGGCTTTCTGGGGTTTTGGAAGGGTTTAGGAGTGTCCTCGGTGCTAAGGGGAGGTAAAAGCATTCAAGTTTTTACACTGAGGCTGTTGAAGTGGCTTGTCTGACTAAGACGCTCTCCAGCCTGATAAAAATTGGTCCGAGAAACTTCTCATAACGAGCAGACGAAAGTTTTACAATAAAGCTATTTGGTTTGACAGCAAGACGTACGAAAAATGACGTCAATAATTCCACAAAAAAACTGCGCACTTGAGATATAGCAAGGTGATTTTTTCCGTATACGCAGTATGCAAGCAGGTTGATGTCGTTCAGAACGCGTAGAGTCTGGATAGATACTGCGTTGGGATTTTGGGTTTGCTGCCCTCAAGACTGTGCCTGGCGCCGGCAGGCAGGCAGTCGGTGGATGTGAGCTCCCAGGGTGTGCGCTGTGGTGGACTCGATTTGCCGGAGAATGCGGGATGCAAGCAAGTGGTGGAGTGGGCTGCCGGTGGTGGCAAGTGGGACAGCGCAGCCGGGGGCTGGTATAAAAACATGCCCACCATCACTGGCGTCAACCACGAGCAGGGCACCTTGCAGGATTTCCAGCGACTCTACTACTGTTCTCCGCCCGGGGACTCCTTCTGCGGTCTGCCGCCTTGCACAGGATGCAGCAATCCACCTTGCAGCGATTGCTTCGCAGGCAACCAGCTATATTCCAGCCGTCGCCCTGGTTGCGATGGGAATGACAAGGGCGTAGGGTGCGTTCCGCCGAAGACTGCCTTGGGATACAAGGGTCAGCATTGGCCAACCACGGTCATCCACGGCACCCAAGAGATGCACATCTTTGCTATTGGCGACTGGGGTGGCATGGATGGCTCGCTAGACCCACCGGAGGGCCGGAAGACCATCGTTGCTTACGATTGGGGACGCCGGCCCGGTCCCAGCGTCTTCCCCAGGAGCCGCTGGAATAAGATGCACACTGTGCAGTTCTGCGATCATAAGCAGCTCGTGGAATGCTTTAACACCCGCGGCCAGGCTCCATGTGCCCCAGAGTGTGGCTATGTGGCAGGCGTAGATGATCAGCCGCAGCTTTTGGTAGCCAATGCCTTTAAAGCCCGCGCTGCACTCGTCGACCCACAGTATATCCTCAACGTAGGGGACAACTTTTATTGGGGCGGTATTGAGAAGACATGTGGGAGTCCGATGGATCAGATCTCGTACCCGACGAAGCACCAGTTCGATCAAATCTTCGAAGGCGTCTATCAAGGGTCCGGCCTGACCAACAAGCCTTGGTTCAGCGTCTTGGGCAACCATGATTGGGGAGGCTTCAAGTTCGACAACGGCTGGGATCAGCAGATCTCCTACACCTGGGCTAGCAACCGCTGGGTCATGCCCGCGCCGTACTACAAGACATCCGTCGTCTACGCAGACCTCGGCTTTGACGTAGACTACTTTTTCTTGGACTCCAACTTCATCGATGCCATGCCACCCGAGGAGGACCCCAACCACAACATGTGCAGTCGAAAGAACAACAAGCCCTCCGCCTCCTGCGCCGCAGCGGATGGCCCCGAGTCCGTGGATGCGTGCCCGGGCTGGTTCGCATCGCTTTGGGCTGAGCAGAAGCCGTGGGTCACGCAACTCATGGGACAGAGCAAGGCGAACTGGCAGATTGTCGTCACGCACTTCCCCTGCGGACATGAGCAGGACTTCTACAAGTCTTTGCGGGGCCTGGGGATGGACCTGCTTGTGACAGGGCACCGGCATGATCAGGAGCTCTGGCTCCCGGATGCTGGGTTGCTGTTAACGAAGTTAATTTCAGTTACCCTAAAGGGGATATATGGTGAATGACAGGGTTTCCTTATTACAGTAATTAATAAAAGTGCAACCCAGGATGATCACGCCAAGAACCACATGGGCGTCACATGCATCGTGACCGGCGGTGGTGGCGGCATCACATCCGAGGCCACACCGAACCCTGAGGAGACTGAGGACTGGTACGGCGAGGCACAGTATGGTTTCTATGACCTCACCATCAGCAAGTCGGAGATTTTGATTGAGTCCATCAACTACGATGGCGAAGTGCTCTTAACACACACCGTGCACCCATCGCGCTGATGTACAGCCTTCTGCAAGTTTTGATGCAATGGGAGCGAGGACCCGCCGTGGACGTAGAAACCTTCACTTGGCGAGCTCTCTTCCTCTTTTGGTCCGCAAAAACGTGGACGTTCACTGGATAGCCAGGTAGGGAGGATCAGCTGTGCTCTTGAATTCTTCCTACCTGTAGGGCATTTATGGTTGGCCAGACGCTGACTTCAGCAATCCTCAGATCTGATCTTATCAGCTCCTCGGCTCCGTAGACCCGTTTAGAAACCCCAAACTTAAGCCCTGCAAACCCTAAACTCCTTAAGCCCTCCGCCACTTGGTCCTAAACCCGCTTAGATTGCAGGCAGTCTTTCAGTCTGTCCAGCTGAAGCTGAAGCGCTTCTAAGTCGTACATCCAGAATTCAACTGTGCTCTGACGATGGAAAGATCGATTTCACGAAAAGCAAAAGGCCGGATGGTAGCCTCGCATCCAGCTGGCCAGGGACATCCCTAAACCCCTAAAACCCCTAAAACCCCTAAAACCCCTAAACCCTAAACCATGACCTGTGGAGATTCCGGTTTTCTGGTTTGGGTTTAGAGTCTTCTGCTTCAGTTGCTCAAGATATGCTTTTCCATGTTCGTGGTTTGTATGCTTGAGGGTGGTTTGGTTTAGAATGTTGGGGTTTATGGTCTTTGGTCTAGGGGCATTGGAAGCACGTCCACCCATGGAACTTAATCGAAGGGGGTTGGAATCAAGGACGTGGGTTTATTTCCACTTGTAAGTACAATCCCGTTTCTAACCCACCAAACTAAATCAGAAGTTGTCGGAAATGTACATACATGTACGCAGGAAAGAGCTTGCTGCAGCTGCAGGCCCGCCCAGTGCTCCCGGGACGCCCAGCCGAAGAGTAGCTGCATCGTCATGCCGGAGAGACTTGGTGCAATGGCCATTGCTGCGGCCGGCGCTTATGCCGTGACCTCCGGGTTCGTGGTCAGCCAGCCGGCCGCACAGCAGCCAAGCGAGGTGCGCCTGAGGGGTGCGCAGGCGCAGCCCAACTCCAGCGCGGGCTTCAGCTCCACCATGCTCAACTTGGCTGGCGCTGGCACCGTGGCAGCCGGCTTGGCCGTGAGCCAGCGCAAGCGCACGGCCCTCCGTGCTGAGAAGTTCGCAGGTGGCCTGGTGGGCAGCGCTGGCGGCTTCGGTGAGTACCAGTTCGACCCCATCGGCTTGGCGGAGCACTACCCCACCCTGCTCCCTTGGTTCC